GAGGCGGAATGCGGCCGTGGGGTTGTGCTCTCTTGCAGTGAGGTTGTCTCCGTCGGCGTGGCAGAAGATTGGCCGAGGGAGGGAGTGGTTGGACGCTGGACGGAGGTTTCTTCAGTGGTGCCAAGAGCGGCGGTCATGGTGCCAATTGAAGCCACCGACTCTGCAGAGGATGTGCTTTCTGGCACTGCAGTGCTTGATCGTGCAGAAAGTAGCGAAGACGTGGTGCCTCCTTCGGCTGTGGTGGATTCTGCCCGAGTAGAAGAACTTGTGCTTTGGGACGCAACGGTGGTCTCCGGAGGGGTTGATGGCGGCGAGGTCCGAGCCCGAGAGGGTACAGTCTGCACGGAAAGAGACGTGGGCAGGGGAGACTCAGATGCTGGAGAGGGTGTTCCGGTCGCTTCTGCTGAAGTCAGCTCAGCCTTCGTGGAAGAACCCTTGCTGATGGTTGGCGTGGTTTGACTTTCAAGAGACGTCACACCGGTCTCCACCGTGGGAGGCGGGCTCTTTGGCGTGGAAGCCCTCACCTCAAGAGTCGAGGTACTCAACTGCGCAGCAGTAGCAGCTGTTGCCGAAGAGAGTGGCGGGCTGCTGAACTCAGCCGCAGTTCCTTCGACCTCAGCCGAAGTACTGCTCCCCCGGAAGGTAACGGTGGTCTCCTCGGTAGGGGCAAGCGAAGAGTGGTGAGTAGAAGAGACAGAAGTTGGCCTGGGAAGGGTGGTTCCTCTAGCAGAGCTCAGCTCCTGTTTGGTCGTGGAAGAGGCGGAATGCGGCCGTGGGGTTGTGCTCTCTTGCAGTGAGGTTGTCTCCGTCGGCGTGGCAGAAGATTGGCCGAGGGAGGGAGTGGTTGGACGCTGGACGGAGGTTTCTTCAGTGGTGCCAACAGCGGCGGTCGTGGTGCCAATTGAAGCCACCGACTCTGCAGAGGATGTGCTTTCTGGCACTGCAGTGCTTGATCGTGCAGAAAGGAGCGAAGACGTGGTGCCTCCTTCGGCTGTGGTGGATTCTTCCCGAGTAGAAGAACTTGTGCTTTGGGACGCAACGATGGTCTCCGGAGGGGTTGATGGCGGCGAGGTCCGAGCCCAAGAGGGTACAGTCTGCACGGAAAGAGACGTGGGCAGGGGAGACTCAGATGCTGGAGAGGGTGTTCCGGTCGCTTCTGCTGAAGTCAGCTCAGCCTTCGTGGAAGAACCCTTGCTGATGGTTGGCGTGGTTTGACTTTCAAGAGACGTCACACCGGCCTCCACCGTGGGAGGCGGGCTCTTTGGCGTGGAAGCCCTCACCTCAAGAGTCGAGGTACTCAACTGCGCAGCAGTAGGAACCGTTGCCGAAGAGAGTGGCGGGCTGCTGAACTCAGCCGCAGTTCCTTCGACCTCAGCCGAAGTACTGCTCTCCCGGAAGGTAACGGTGGTCTCCTCGGTAGGGGCAATCGAAGAGTGGTGAGTAGAAGAGACAGAAGTTGGCCTGGGAAGGGTGGTTCCTCTAGCAGAGCTCAGCTCCTGTTTGGTCGTGGAAGAGGCGGAATGCGGCCGTGGGGTTGTGCTCTCTTGCAGCGAAGTTGTCTCCGTCGGTGTGGCAGAAGATTGGCCGAGAGAGGGAGTGGTTGGACCCTGGATGGAGGTTTCCTCAGTGGTGCCAACAGAGGTGGTCGTGGTGCCAATTGAAGCCACCGACTCTGCAGATGATGTGCTTTCTGGCACTGCAGTGCTTGAGCGTGCAGAAAGGAGCGAAGACGTGGTGCCTCCTTCGGCTGTGGTGGATTCTGCCCGAGTAGAAGAACTTGTGCTTTGGGATGCAACGGTGGTCTCCGGAGGGGTTGATGGCGGCGAGGTCCGAGCCCGAGAGGGTACAGTCTGCATGGAAAGCGACGTGGGCAGGGGAGACTCAGATGCTGGAGAGGGTGTTCCTGTCACTTCTGCTGAAGTCAGCTCAGCCTTCGTGGAAGAACCCTTGCTGATGGTTGGCGTGGTTTGACTCTCAAAAGACGTCACACCGGTCTCCACCATGGGAGGCGGGCTCTTTGGCGTGGAAGCTCTCACCTCAAGAGTCGAGGTACTCAACTGCGCAGAAGTAGGAGCTGTTGCCGAAGAGAGTGGCGGGCTGCTGAACTCAGCCGCAATTCCTTCGACCTCAGCCGAAGTACTGCTCTCCCGGAAGGTAACGGTGGTCTCCTCGGTAGGGGCAAGCAAAGAGTGGTGAGTAGAAGAGACAGAAGTTGGCCTGGGACGGGTGGTTCCACTAGCAGAGCTCAGCTCCTGTTTGGTCGTGGAAGAGGCGGAATGCGGCCGTGGGGTTGTGCTCTCTTGCAGCGAGGTTGTCTCCGTCGGTGTGGCAGAAGATTGGCCGAGAGAGGGAGTGGTTGGACCCTGGATGGAGGTTTCCTCAGTGGTGCCAACAGAGGTGGTCGTGGTGCCATTTGAAGCCACCGACTCTGCAAATGATGTACTTTCTGGCACTGCAGTGCTTGAGCGTGCAGAAAGGAGCGAAGACGTAGTGCCTCCTTCGGCTGTGGTGGATTCTGCCCGAGTAGAAGAACTTGTGCTTTCGGATGCAACGGTGGTCTCCGGAGGGGTTGATGGCGGCGAGGTCCGAGCCCGAGAGGGTACAGTCTGCATGGAAAGCGACGTGGGCAGGGGAGACTCAGATGCTGGAGAGGGTGTTCCGGTCGCTTCTGCTGAAGTCAGCTCAGCCTTCGTGGAAGAACCCTTGCTGATGGTTGGCGTGGTTTGACTTTCAAAAGACGTCACACCGGTCTCCACCATGGGAGGCGGGCTCTTTGGCGTGGAAGCTCTCACCTCAAGAGTCGAGGTACTCAACTGCGCAGAAGTAGGAG